TCAAGGGTACTTTCGGGAGACAAAGGATCGGGAGTCAGCCGAATATGCGCATCCTCCATGTCCGGCGGTTGGGCTGTCTTGCGGGTCCTGATTTGTCTGGCACGTAGTGCAGTACTGAGAAGCTGCTTTTCCTTCTGTATCCTTTCCTCCTCCGCCTTCTTTCGCGCCGCAATACGCTCCAGAGTGGCCTTGCGATCGGCAATCTTGGCGGCCACTTGTTGTAGCGACTTGTTGCTGGGGTCAAGGGTGAGACCCCGCGAGGCGGCATCTTCGGCCTCCGGAAGCTTGTCGAGGGAATAAAGCGCCATCGCGGAACGGTAATAAGCTTTGATATTGTTCGGGTTGAGCTTGAGGACAGAGGCGCAGTCGAGGGTGGTAGAACGGTAATTTTCTAAACCAAATTAGCAATTTGTGCCAGGTGTGGCCATAACGCAGTGACATACTCAGTTCCAGATTGCACAGAGCGCGGTTGATGTATGAAGCCTCCTCGACCTGCCGCAGGAGCTTCTCCTCCTCCTTTGGATCCTCTGGTTTGTCCCACTTATCGAGTTTCGTTGTCACTACCGCAAGAGCCTTGGTATAGAACTCCTTCGCATCGATCCATCTCTTTTCTCTCGCTGCCTCGTTGCCTTGCTCGCGGTAGCTCTGGGCGACTTCGCCACGGGTACCTTCGTTCTGGAGTGCTTGGATGGCATCAAGCATGGGATTTTCGCCATCTATGCGGCGAGAGCATCGTCAGTCTTCGGTCATGATATTGCATCTACTGAGCGGGGAGGATAAGCATACTTTCGTCCCCCGCCTGATTAATATCCGTCATGAACAGTGGGGTCTTATTCATCATGCTCAAAAGCTCCTCCGAGGTATGTGACTTGACCGACGCCATGGTCGGCGGCAGCTTGGGTGCATTGGGGTCATTTTCAAGCTCCCTCAATCTCTCTTCGTTGATCGGAAAGGGAGTTTCTTCCACGGCGGGAGAAGGGCCGTCATTGTAGATTGTGGCGGGAGGCACCTCGGTAGCCGGAGGCTGTTCGTTGAGATTGAGGCGCTCGTCAAAGTCGTCTGGAAGCTCTTCTATTTGACCCATCTTGCTATCTGTGGTTGAATAAACAAATGTTTGATGTCCTATTCAAAAAAGTCTCACGAAACTAGTACCTAACAAATGCGATCAGAACAAACATTGCAAACAAGAGGGGATAGGGTTTGCCCTTTTGCCTTATTACCTTGGATATGGAAGGCGGTGAGTTGTCCCTTCCGGAAGGTGTCCGCAACAGAAGGGTAAGTCCCTATGTAGATAACTCTCTACTCCGTACATCAAGGGCAGCGGCAGGTAGCTAGGTAGATGATAAATCTTGCTGGAAGATGATTGGAAATTTCATAGACGGGTTGGAGGTATCAAGATATGGGCGTTTCAAATTTCATCTACCGTCCGCCCATCCCCCGGTACCGGACATTTGCGAGGGATCCAGAGAGATACAGCTGTATCAAGTTCACATCGCCATCATCCATGCCCATAGACAGTTGTTTTATGAGATGTCCACTGGGGTTACGAAAAACATACAGTTCCATTTTAATCTGCTGAGCACCGGGCCCTTGAATAAACACCCTATCCGTGGTTCACTGCAACGTTTATAAGATCCACTGCGTTCCTGGCTGGAGCCACGGTTGACTGTGCAATTAGCAAAGCCACATCACTCCTCCAGCGTCCAGTTTTTTGTGGTCTCCTAGCCTTCCGATGCGTCATTTAAGATAATGAATGTCATACAACTCAGGTCGTATCTGTATGAATGGATTGCATCGGACGAACCCCGCGGTCTCGTCAACCCCGCAGCATCGGTTGGAGACCGATGGCCGATACAGGAGCTACGGCTATGCTTATATAGTTCTTTGTCAACAGGATACAGCCTTTCCATGATCTCATAAGGCTTTGAATCCAGTCTGTGATATTGCATTGGATATTGATCAATTCCTGCACTTGTCTGACATCATTCAATCAAAGAGATGGCAACTGCTTACAATATCCTCGTCCTCCCCGGCGATGGGATCGGTCCCGAGGTCATGACCGAAGCGGTCAAGGTGCTAAAGGTCTTTGAGAACGAGCACCGAAAGTTCAACCTTCGGCAAGAGCTCATCGGCGGCTGCAGCATCGATGCGCACGGGAAATCCGTCACAGAAGAAGTCAAAACGGCCGCTCTGGAATCCGACGCCGTGCTCTTCGCAGCAGTCGGAGGTCCCAAATGGGACCATATCCGTCGTGGTCTTGACGGGCCGGAGGGAGGCCTGCTGCAGCTCCGCAAGGCGATGGACATCTACGCGAATCTCAGACCGTGCTCGGCCAGTTCGCCGAGTGCGTCGATCGCGAAGGAGTTTAGCCCGTTCCGCCAGGAAGTGATCGAGGGTGTGGATTTCGTCGTGGTGCGAGAGAACTGCGGGGGAGCGTATTTCGGGAAGAAGATCGAAGAAGAAGATTATGGTACGTCGTCTTTTACAAGCAGTATGCTTTCGAGACTGACTCTGTTATTTCAGCGATGGACGAATGGGGCTATAGCGAACGCGAGATCCAGCGCATCACCCGCCTCTCGGCGGAAATTGCCCTCCGCCATAACCCCCCATGGCCGGTCATCTCCCTGGATAAAGCCAATGTGCTCGCCTCGTCGCGGCTCTGGCGGCGCGTCGTTGAAAAGACGATGACCACCGAGTATCCCCAGGTGAAGCTCGTGCACCAGCTGGCGGACTCGGCGTCGCTGATTCTAGCGACCAACCCGCGCGCCTTGAACGGCGTCATCCTAGCCGACAATACATTCGGCGACATGATTTCCGACCAGGCCGGTTCGATTGTCGGGACATTGGGCGTGCTTCCCAGCGCCAGTCTCGATGGGTTACCAAGTGAGACGAGAAAGAGAACGAATGGTCTGTACGAGCCGACACATGGGTCTGCACCGACGTACGTTCCTTCCTTTGTTTCCCGATTTTCATGTTTCACTCTGAAGCAAGCTGACAATCATCTGCAGAATCGCGGGCCAGAACATCGCCAACCCCGTCGCCATGATCCTCTGCGTGGCACTCATGTTCCGCTATTCGCTAGACATGGAGGCCGAGGCGCAACAGATCGAAAAAGCAGTTCAGGGTGTTCTGGATGCTGGGATCCGCACCCCTGATCTGGGTGGGAAGTCGGGGACGAACGAAGTTGGGGATGCAATTGTTGCTGCGCTGCAGGGTAGTTCATAAGCTTTGATGGACGTGTCAGCCAGACTGAGATCAGATTAAGACAGATTCAAAGAAAGAATCTTCATGAGTCTAGACTGTTTTCGTCAATAGTGAGACGAAGCTTGAGCCTCATTTCTGGTTCACCAGAACAATGGGCGCAATCAAGTGACGGGAGTGAACAAAGACACCTCCAAAGTTCAACCATCGCGTATATTGTTTTGCATGGCATATATCTCTCTACATATTGAATTATGAGGACGAAATAAAGACGCTGGAAGTAAACAACCTGTTAAGAAATAATATAAGGCGTAACTATACTACATACCACTCGCCTACCTTCTACAATCTAGCAGTCCTCTACAGTTCAACGATTCAATCACTACGAAATGACCAAAGACATCAGACACACATCCTACATCTCCCGCCTCCAAACCCTCCCGGACCTAGACAGCTCCTCCAAACGCACCCTCCTCTGCTCCATCGCCACCGACATCACCGCCACCTTCATCTGCATCTCCAAACACATCGAAAACGGCACTCTGAGCGATGAACACACAGCCTCCATCGAGAGCGTCATCGACATCATCAAAGGAACAGAGGTGTCGCACCGCCGGATGCTAGAGCGGAAGGTGAAGCGGTATACGCGGCTGGCGCGACGGTTGAAGAGTGAGAGGGAATGGATGCGGAGGGAGTTTGGCGACTTCGTGAAGCGCGCGGATGCAGTGAATTTGCGGTGGAGGAAGAGAGTGCGGGATCTGGAGGTGGTGAATAAGGCGATGAGGAGGGAGTTGATGGTGAAGGGCCGCAGTGAGAGATTTCAAAATGGGGATAGGGGCAGCAGATGCGACCGAGGATGAGTGTGAGTGTCCTGGCAACATCAATGCAATATTTTTGTTGTTTTCATGCTTTCATCGCTGGGATTTGGGGGCTTCAATTTCACGTGGCAATGTTCTCCTGATGTCCGTAAATTGGCCGATAAATCTTGGTGGTGGATGGCTTTGTGGCAAATTCAGCCATGGGGTGAATATTCCATTTGAGATTATCACATCTCAGTAAATGAGATATTGACCATCAGAAGTCAATTGCTGAATTGTATTAAATTCAATCGTTATATCCACAGCAGGTACTCCGTAGATAGATAGCAGTGATGTGCGTTCTCAAGGCGGAATCAAAGTTCCGAGGTTGAATTGCGCAGAAGTTTCGGATCGGGACCCTCAGACACCCTGGCAGTACTCTCAGGCATCATCCGACCATGATGATATCAAACGAATCATCAAAGGAATTTCTATTCTGTAGTCTCATTCTGGTCATTTTCGCAGTAGTCCTGATCTTTCAATACTGACGCAATAGAGTACAGCACTACAGCGTATCCGTACAGCCGGACGATCAGCTGCGCGAGGAAAATGTCGCGATGCTTCCCCAGATGTTTCCAGAATCCGGTCCAGATCCCGCGAAGGGAAAGCCAGTAATCGAGCAGATATATCAGATCATTCCTGCTGGGACCAAATGAAATGGACCTCGGCATCTGAACACTTATCGGCCAGAATCTTTGCACTGATTCGGCCCGCGGATCCACTCCCTTTTGTCCTTCATGTGCGACAACTGACAAGAAAAAGAGTCGACGCCTCCCAGGCTCAGTGACCTTGACCTTCTTTTCTCTTCTTCATTGTACATTCTTGTCCTTTTGACTAACGATACCCGTCGTGTTCTGTCTGTCTTTTTTTTGGATTTTGCATTCGACCTGAAAAGGCTATTAGTGTTGACCCACCTATTGATACCCCAGAAAAACCGACAGAATGAGCAAACCCGGGGATTATGGCGCCGTCCGCAAGGACATCATTGCTCAGTTGAAGAAACCCGACTATGACGACGGCAGCGCAGGTCCCGTATTCGTACGACTCGCATGGTTCGTTTTCTTTCCCTCCTTTCCGGCACATTCGCCACTGACACTTCTCTTCTATCAGGCACTCCGCAGGTACATATGACCTCGAAACCGACACCGGCGGCTCCAACGGCGCAGGCATGCGCTACGAAGCCGAAGGCGGCGACCCCGCCAACGCCGGCCTCCAGCACGGCCGCGCCTTCCTCGAGCCCGTCAAGGAGAAACACCCCTGGATCACATACGCCGACCTGTGGACACTAGCCGGCGTGGTCGCCATCGAGGCGCTGGGCGGCCCCAAGATTGTCTGGAAGCCCGGCCGGACGGACCTCGTCGACGACTCCAAGGTTCCCCCGCGCGGCCGGCTGCCCGACGCCGCACAGGGCGCCGAGCACCTCCGCGCCGTGTTCTACCGGATGGGCTTCAACGACCAGGAGATCGTGGCGCTAGCGGGCGGACATACCCTCGGCCGATGCCACATCGACCGCAGCGGGTTCCAGGGTCCGTGGGTGAACAACCCGACACGGTTCTCGAACCAGTTCTTCAATCTGCTGCTGAAGTTGGACTGGAAGCCGAAGACGCTGCCGAACGGGATCAGCCAGTTTGTGTATGTGGATCCGGACGCGGAGGAGGGCGACGAGCCGCTCATGATGCTGCCGACGGATATCGCGCTCAAGACGGACCCGGCGTTCCGCGTGTGGGTGGAGAAGTACGCCGCCGACAAGGACCTGTTCTTTGATCATTTCGCCAAGGCCTTTGCCAAGTTGATGGAGCTGGGAATCAAGCGTGATGAGAACGACCGTGTCATCAACGCCGATAACGTCAAGGGCGGGTACATCTCTGCGCCGAAGAAGAGCAATCACCCCACTGGGCCGACCAAGGGGGCTCAGGGTGGATGTCCTGTGGCAGCGTCGCAGGGCGGATGCCCTCGGGCTAAGCTGTAATCACTTCCCTTTCTCTGCCTGTGAATATGTTAGAATCTTCCTTTTGTTGATACAGGATCGGACTAGATAACTAGATCGCGGGTGCATGTACATGTATAGATTAGACGCATACAATACCATGTTTGATTTTATTTGCTGCATACCAATCGACTTTTCTTCATAAGAAGATGGAACTGTTCAAGTAGGAAGAAGGTATTTTACTAGTGATATAGCCGGGGAAAGGGAGAGGAAATGCGGGGAAGAAAGTATCCCTGCAGCCGCACAGACAAACGCCATCAACCCCAACCTTCGTTTCGCTAGCTTTATAATTCATTGGTTGTCGAGTGTTTTTATTACTCATAGTATTTTTGTCATTGTGATGATGGGTTTGATCTACTTACGATTGTTCCTCGGTCGAGAGATGGGTGTCGATTGTTGACAGTTGACTTGGTGGCTCGGGTGCAGTGTAGCCACAGTATGCATGTACAACCTTGTTGAATCCGCTACAGATGTATTGTCTATTGACTATCATCGCAGATGAAACTCGACTAAGAAACTCAAGAACTCAATATGACAAATAACAGATTGTTGACCAAACACCATCAATGATGTAAGCAAGCTACAACAAGCTAGGAACTCCAACAAGCAAAATAGAACAAGCGAAACCTCACCTAAATCATCTACTGAGCCTTGCGCTTCTCCTGGTACCGACTCGTTCGGTCCGTTCAGCCCGAGTTCGTGCTCTTTTCCTAGGGGGCGGGTCCATCGTAGTGTCTGCCGCGACACCATTGTCACCATCGCCATCCCCCGTAGTACAGTTGACATCGTTGCTTTCGCCGCGATTGTTGTTGTCGCTATTGTCCTGCACTTCTTCGATGGCTCGCTTTGGCGACACCCGCATATAAATTGGTTGCACGGCACCACATACCGCGAATCCCGCCATCATCTCCGGTGATGGCTGACCTGTCTGCCCTGTTCTCTGTTTCTCGGGGCTGTTCGACGCAGATGGGATCCAGAAGAATTGCTGCGTGGGCGAAATTGACATTGCGCTGGGGTCGCCGGTCGGCTGCATTATGAGCGTGTTTGTGAAATTGGCAAAATTGCCGAAGGCGTTCTGCGGGCTGTTGCTTCGACGATTGAAACCGCTGAAAAGGCTAGTTGTGTTCATTGGCGGGTTGATCTCGAACGGGTTCACGCCTACAGGCTGCGCCGTCGCAAAAGTCGAGACAAACGGCCCGACGGTGGCTGGTATCGCAGAAGTGTATGTGGTGGGAGCCTGCGCGTATGCAGCCTGCTTCATTCCTGTTGGAACCGGCGATACTCGCATTGAAGATCGGACTGATGTTGGAGCGGAGGGTAGATCAGGGCCGGACGAGCGGCCTGACGAGTGGCCAGCCGAGCTGACGGAAGTCTGACTGCGCACAGTGACACTCTGTTGCTGTTCCTCAGTCTCACCATCTGCTGCAAGCTTGAAGCGGTCTGCGTTGGGCAAAATTCGGTCCCAGGGAGGTGACTGCGTGGGAGGAGTAGGTTCGGCTCTGGTCCAGGGCGTATGCTCCTGAGCAACCAGTTTGCCCTCCATTTTCACCTTCATCATGTCAAGCAACGAGTGATACGCAAGACTGAATACTTCCGGTTCCGGGTCCATGACTCGTTCGTAAACGAGGAATGGCACCGAGGTGTTTCTCCACCATTCCGGAGGTAGCCTCTCATCCTTATGGGCTGGTGGAATATCGCCGATGATCAGGCCCGAGTTCATCGTGCTGTCATACATCTTGAGGAAGCCATGGTCGGTCTCGCCTCTCTTAGTGTCCGTCCAGAACACGCGATACCGGTAATCCTTATAGTAAATGCCTCCCAGCCAACGGTACGTGGCCTTTTGCAACTGACCATCACCGTCACAAAAGTCGAACGTGATGTCCTTGGTGTGATTTTTGATTGAGACCTGTTCGTCAAGGCCAACCACCATACGCAGAGGAAGAGTGTCAAACCTTCTCTCGATGGTCACAGATTGTGGTGCGTTGCATGCCGTACAATCCGCATGAAGAAGAGGTGCGAACGGACGGGCCATCACCTCGCTCATGCACACCCCATGCATGTCCACAGGATGCCGGTCGGGGGCGACGAAGGTTTTGGTATGTGCTTGCACAGTGGCAGCCTGCCCGGTACATTGACAAGGCGCAACTGCTTCTCGGTACGTGAAATGGAACTGGTCAAAGTGCCCCGCGCAATCAGACCAGACAGTCCACAAAGGGCTGAGCATTCCAGGCTGGACGCCTGCTACATGTTCCTGAACGACATCCCAAAAGTGGTCTCTCATTTCTGAATTTTCGTCCAGAGAGAGCACATCCCAATTGACATCAGTCGCCTCGATAAAGGCTCGTTCTAGTGCACTAAAGCGGGTCTCCCATCCAGCCCTCTTACGATCAATGACCGTGGACCCAGCATCGAGCAATTTGCCTACAACAATCAGACTGTCGATGGTGCTTGAGTTGTTTTTCCAGATAGGGCCTCTGCCTCGGCAGGGATAGTCATTGCCGGTGGGATCGATGATCGTCCTGGTAGGGTCGTGCGGGTCCAACGAGAGCCGCACTTGGGCATTTGCATGGTACAGTCCAACAATGGCTTTTGACATGTCTCCTTCATGCAAAGCGGTAAGATATGGCCGGGCGACGGTCTGAGGAGCAGCGCTGGCGTCTCGCTCAAGCTCCATGTAGGCATATTTCATGACGACTTTTTCAACGTCCTCGATGATTGCTCGAGCCATGTGAGCAGGCACAAGGACGACCGCAGAAGGAGCGGGTGCAGGTATAAAGACGCCCGTTGGGTTCGCAGGGGCTGTAAGGGTTGGGTTTGCGAACGACCCAGCTGCTGCACTAACCACGGCCGTTGTCTGGTTGTTGCTCTGAAATGCAGCAGTATTGTCATTACCTCCAAGGTTCAACGTGCCCACCGCGGGCGGGCTTGACCCTAGTGCTTCTGCTTCGGACATGTCCAAGTCACGACTAGGCTTGTTCATCCGTTCAAGGTAGATATCGGGGATATTCGCTGCAGCATTCTCTGGTCTGACAAAGTCAGACTGCGTGGTGCCGTCCAGCGCCGGGGGATCAGGGTAGTATCTGCTGATGGGCAGGAGAGAGGGATGGTCGATCTCGTAAGACAACAGTCTCGGGCCACCATCTTTGCCTTCAAAGTCTAGAAGGTCCCTGAAAGATCGAGGTCGGTGATAGTCTGCCGTGTAATAAAAGATCTTCCACAGAGCTTGCAGAATTCTCAAATTGGTCAACCGCGATGGCATTCCCGTGTCGATTCCCCAGCTGTAAAAGTCGAGCATAGCTACCATTTGCTCGCGTACGTACTTGCGCGTACGGAGGACAACGTCCGCAGACTCCCCAAGGAACTTCCAGCTTGGGGGTGGATCAGGCATCTCGGCGAGATTGAACCTGGCGTGGCGAAGGGCAGGGTTCGGCCAGTTGTGGCCATGCGAAGATTCGCCGGACGAATGCTCCGCCGGTGAGCTCATTTTGGTTGTAAGTAGAGTGAACTGTTGAAGATGAGTGCTAGGATCCTACGTAGGGGCGGATTGCGCAAAGTAAACAATTGTCTGGCAGGGAACAGGGAGGTAGGGATGAAACGATACAAGTTGGAACAAACAGGAGCAGGTCGAGGAAAATGAGACGATTAAGTACGCAGTAGAGACTCGTCTTTCGAGACATATTGTCATTCATTCAGAGACTGGAGACAAAGGACTTCAGGGGACTTGATTGTAGACAAAGATGGAGCAAAGAACAAGTCAGACATCGAAACAGTACCGTTCTCTCGACAATGAGGACCAAATACTTGGCTAGCAGCCATGGTAGCAGTGCTCTCCACGTTTGTTTCTCCAACAATTGAGCAGAAAGCAACCTCTGCTGAAAGAATACGTGCCGAATTGCCAGGCTGTCATGGCCAAACAAGCGACGGGGAAGGAGGATCGAGTCAAAGGACTGTTTGACTGTTTCAAATCAATCACCACCCTGTTGATAGGCCTCTATGTGCAGGCTTCGAAGGACTTGATTGTGTCTAGAACAGACATTCCAGCAAACTCAACAAAGATTGGAGAACATAGTGGCTGTTGCGGCAATCCGCGCTATACTTTAACCCAGCGGGGTGGGCGATCAAGCAGCGAACATGCTACATGATTGTGAATGTCAGTTATATAGTGGATGAAAGGGCCTGCAACAATTGAGATCAGTCGATTAGTAGGGCGATATGAGTTCAAAGAGTAACTGCTGTTCTACGAGGAAATCTCGCTTCCGTCGTGAAGTGCCTTTGGAGACATCTCTTTCATCAAGATCGATACACATTTTCATCGAGAAACAAATGAGCAAGGGTAGGACTTCAACAAGACTAGGACCATCACTCAGAATAGATAAAGAAGGTCTCAAAACATACGACAATCCTCTAAATGGCAGACCATAGAATTTCTGCATGAAGACAAAGAGCAGTACACCTGATACAATACGCATACATCAATAGTCACGTGCCCGAATCAATGCGAAGAACAGGTAATTTATCCCTGTTAAGTTTAGCGGCTTCGACAAGCGAGCCCTTAAGCCCACCTTACCCGATCAGGCTAGACCACTGCTTACCCGATCCCACAACGGGAGCGAGCAAAGTCATGGAAGGCGCCCTCGATTTCACCTCTCCTTCATCCCTCTTGCTGTCGACAATCAATCGCGAGTCCCGTCGCGCCATCGCCCATCATGTGTACGTTCATCCCATATTCCCGGACTCCCTTTGTTCGCACATTGCTATTTCCTCGATTATTTGGTTGGGAAAAGTGGTTGCAAATGATGGAAATGAGAGACGGGTTTCAAGACCGTTGAATTGCTCCATCGGAGGAAGCTTTTCGGAGATGATAAAAATTCAGAAATGACGGAGAGAACAAAAGGCTGACTTGATTTTTTTTCTCGATTCTACAGCGCTCGTGTCCGGCGAGAAGACGAACTTCCAGTACATCTTGCGTCTGCTCAACACCAATGTTGACGGCAAGCAGAAGATCATGTACGCCTTGACCCAGATCAAGGGTGTCGGCCGTCGTTACTCCAACTTGGTTTGCAAGAAGGCCGATGTTGATCTGAGCAAGCGGTACGTTGAATCTATTTCTGGTTTCCTACGAATTGTACAAGTCGGTGGTGTTGGTGTGGAGACAACGAGAAGAGCGAATGGCGTCGATTGAATGAAATCTATGGAAGCAGAAGTTGACTTGAATCACAGCGCTGGTGAGCTCACCACCGAAGAACTCGAGCGTATCGTCACCATCCTCCAGAACCCCACCCAGTACAAGATCCCCTCCTGGTTCCTCAACAGACAGCGCGACATCGTCGATGGCAAGGACTCCCAGGTTCTGTCCAACGGTCTGGACAGCAAGCTCCGTGAGGATCTTGAGCGCCTGAAGAAGATCCGCTCCCACCGTGGTCTGCGTCACTACTGGGGTCTCCGTGTCCGTGGTCAGCACACCAAGACTACCGGCCGCCGTGGACGCACCGTCGGTGTCAGCAAGAAGAAGGGCTAAACCATTACGGATGTCTTTTTTGTTTTCCGCTGGAGTGGATTTGGTGGGACTATGTTGGTGTGTTTACGAATCCTCGTGGGACTCTGGACTTGATCTGGTGTTGATATAAAAACGACACGGGCCCCAACAAAAGCGAAAGAAATCATACCAATATGAAATGAACAGATCAAAATCACTCCTTCCCTTTTCGTTATGACTCGGCATAGCTGGTATTCTATGGACCTATCCACGATGTGGTAATGATTTCGCCGTACCGTTCCATTGTACGTTCGTAGTTCCTCGAGTAGGCGTCGGTCACCTAACGGGACTCACATACTTAATAGGTAAATCTTTAACGGGTCCGAGGAAAACTGCCATCTTTCTATAAAGTATAATATATATATATCGCCTTACCAACTGAGCCAAAATCCCGAGCACCACTCGTTTATAATAAAGTCGGATTATGCAATATCCGCAAAGACAACACTATCCAAGAAAGACTGCGATGTAATCATAAAGCCAACGTGTATACAGTATAGCAACGAAAACGATGTCTAGAACCATTCACCACCAAGCCAGCGGTTGAAGAATTCGAGACTGGCCTCGGGCTGGTCCATGGGCACCATGTGTCCAGCACCGTAGAGACGCATAAAGGTAAAGTTGCCGTGAGACTTGATCTGGCCAATCTTCTTGCCCTTGTGTTCATTCTCCTCGATTACCAGGTCCTTCAATGGAAGAGGCGCGTACTCCTTCTGTCCAGGCCACTCGAGAGCCTCGGTCCAGGCCTTGTTACCAAGCCAGTTGCAGATGAAGTCCGCGTCACCGGCGTAAATCAGGACGGGAATCTGCTCAAGGAGGCCAGGAACCAGGCGGTGGTAGGGCTTCATCCAGTCACCGTGGAAGAGGAAGTTGCGGTTGATGTCAAAGTTGCAGGATTCGTAGCCATCGACCTCGGCACCGACAGCTTCGCGGACCTCACGCTTGTTCAGGTACTCGCTAACATAGCCCATACCCTTGTAGCACAGGTTACTCGTATCCTCACACTTGCCACGAATATCGTAGACGTTCTGGCCGGTTCTCTGGTAAGGCCCAAGGAGCGCGTTGTTGCAGTAGATCGAAGCAGGGACGCAAATCCAGGAGCTCTCTGTGTTGTAGCAAGACTCGATCATCGACTTGCAACGAGGCAGAGCGTTATCCATGGACTGGCAGCTGGCTTCGTCCAGGACAGCAGGATAACCACCCTCACCGCAAGCCATGGGGCGGTAGTAGTCATACTGAGTCAAACCGTCGGTGAGACCATTGCCAATGAGGACGGACTTCAGGTTGATGTTGCGCTTCTTGTGAGACAGAATCTCAGAGGCAAATACAGGGATGTAGTGACCAGCGTACGACTCTCCAGCAATGTGGAAGTCCTGCTTGGCATATTCGGGGAATTGCTTGAAGAAAAGGGTAAGGAGGGCATATACATCCTTGCCTGCAGCAACGGTGTCGCTAACAGCGGCGCCACTGTAAGAATAGCCGACATTGACGGGCTGATCGAGGAAGATGACGGAGGCATTGGAGTTCCAGGCAAAGTCATTGTAGATGGGCTTGATCTTCTCGTTGATGCTGCTGGGACCAAGCTCCAGGAACAATCCAGTAAGGGAAGAACAGCCAGGACCACCGTTGAGCCACAGAACAACGGGGTCGTTCTTGGGGTCATTACGAGACTCGAAGAACCCTTTCCAAATCAGTATTCAGCTACGCAGACCAGGAAATCAATGTAGAACTCACAGTAAAACAGATGCTTGTCATTCTCGTTATCGTCAAGGTAACCAGTGTACTGCTTCACACCAGGATCGATACCGAGAGCACTAGGATCGGTCTTCTTGACTCTCAGATCATAGGCCTCCAACTTGCCATCGATCTCCCGCTCCTTCTCGCCGCTGGCTCCAGTGACCCAGACACTCTGGACATCAGCACCACGGACGATGTGATCCCAGTGGGAGTCAGGACGACGGGTGTGTTTCTTAGGCAGCGAGAAGACCGGGTTATGATCCATGTTGTTGGGGAAGTGGTTAGCAACCTCATCCCATAGATGACGAGCCTCACCAGACAAGGTCTTGAGCTGCTCTTGGAGGTCATGAAGAGGCTTGGCCAGTGTGTCGGCTCCCTTCTTGGGCAAACCGAGGATCTGCTGGAAGGGAGGAGCAGCCGCAGTGGCCGCTCCGACCAGCAATGTAGCTGGAAGAACTCTCATGGTGGCTTAGATCGTTTCCAGAACGACCTGGAATGCGTATTGTTGATGGATAGGAGGATGGGAGGATAGAGTACCCTGGGGATGGGGGATGACTGGGACAGCGAGCTTATCAGTACCGTATCAGAGACAGCGAGAGAGCACAGTGATGGTTGCCAACGTACGATTCACAGATAAACAAAGCACAAATTGCTAAGACAGTTGATGAACTGAATACTCAACAGGCTTAATGATAGATGAAGAGAAGAGAAGAGGAGATGGCGGATGGATGGATGAAGGCTGAAGCTTGATGGGCAGGGCCAATGACGACTGAATCAGCAGCACTGGATAGCGAGGCAAGGAGGCAGCCACTCAGAGCGCAGTGCCTGGTGCGGAGAACCAGTCACATGTTGGGTCACCTGCCGCTGAGTCACGAGGGCGGCACGAGACCAGCGTCATCGCAATTTATCAGGTACATTGGGGATAGCCGCATTTTTGGGAGGGGCTGCATGACTTTTTTCTTTCATCACGAACAACCACATATATTTCGATCTCATACATTAGAATATTGTTTAAACTTTGATCGCAAAGAGCCCAGGAGGCTCAGAGAACATAGACAGAATGCCTATCAACCAACCCTCAAATCAGATAAAATTCACCAATGTATCAATCGTCCGATTAAAAAAAGGTCCATTTCATCTCCCCGTCAGATAAAAGAATACTGAACCATTTCTAATCCTACCTACAGGCAAGAAGAGATTTGAACTCGCCTGCTACAAAAACAAACTCCTAGAATACCGCTCCGGCGCCGAAAAAGACCTCGACAATGTCCTCCAAGTCCCCACAATCTTCCTCTCCGTCTCCAAAGCCCAAACCGCCCCCTCCGCCGAACTAACAAAAGCCTTCGGCCCGAACGTATCAACCGACGAAATCCGCCAGGAGATCCTCCGCAAAGGCGAAGTGCAGGTCGGCGAGCGCGAGCGCAAGGAGATGCTGGAGCGGGTGGAGAAGGAAGTCCTCGACATCGTCTCCGGGCGGTTAATCGACCCCAACACGAAACGGGTGTACACACCGGGGATGATTTCCAAGGCGCTGGACCAGTTGAGCTCGGCGAGCGGGCAGCAGCAGATGCAGCAGGAGGGGAATGGGAATGGGAACGGGGCAGGGGATGAGAACGGGCCGGCGCAGCCGCGGAAGCCGCTTTGGACGGGCGTGACGCCAAATAAGTCGGCGAAGAGTCAGGCGCTGGAGGCGATGAAGGCGTTGATTGCGTGGCAGCCTATCCCTGTGATGCGGGCTCGGATGCGACTCCGTGTCACTTGTCCTGTGGCGCTGCTGAAGCAGTCTGTTAAGGCTGCCGCGGCGCCTGGGGCGAACAAGGAGAAGGAGGCGCCGTCTGGCGGGGCGAAGAATAATAAGAAGGGTGGAAAGGGTGGTAAGGGGAAGGCTGCGCGGCAGCAGGACTCGGATGTGGAAGCTGGTGGCTCAGACGCGGAGACGGCGCCTGCTGTGAAAGCCCCTACCAATGTCAAGGACAAGATCATGAGCTACATTGAGTCGGTGGAGAGTCAAGAAGTGGTTGGCGGTGATGAATGGGAAGTGGTTGGGTTTGCTGAGCCAGGCGCCTTCAAGGGGTTGAACGACTTCATTGGCACCGAGACCCGCGGAAGAGGTCGAGTCGAGGTGTTGGATATGGCGGTTACCCATGAGGATTAAAGGTTACGTTCTCCGTAACATCCCTCATCCCTTTCATTGGTTATTCTGTTTAGAGTCTACTAAAAGTATATATCCTGCATGTTTCACTTGATGTCTGTTACGAGCGATGATAGGGAATGTAATGGCTAGTCAAGAATAGCATTATAGAGATTGAACAGTCAGTGCATCTGGTAGTAAATGACTACGGTAAAATATGACTGACAGTGATATCTGCCTGCGCATCGACTTGGATTAACCGTCATACTCAATCTAGGAATAGTACAGTAACACCACAGCGCCAGAGGGACGAAACCACAACAGACTACAAGAAAGAACAGATCATCCCGCCACAAGCAAGACAACATCCTTCCCCGGCCCTAGTTCCCTCGCAAGCCGAATTGTCCTCTCAACCGCATACCCCGTCATCGCTCCCGAGACAATCCCCTCCTGACTTCGAAGAATGTCCACGCCCCGCAAGGCCTCAGCATCCGTCGCAGTAACATATTCCACCCTGGCCGTCTCCTTCCAGTGCGCCAGTTCAGGCCCAACGCTGGGAAAGTCCAGATCGGGGGATATCGAGCCTGAATCGAGGATCTGGCCATGCTCGTCCTGGAGGAGATAGGTGCGGCATCCATGCAGGACGCCGATGTCACCGTGGGATAGAGGAGCGGCGTCTGCCGCCTCGATGCCGAGCAGTTTCACCGACGGATGCTCAATGAACGGGTAGAACATGCCGACGGCTGCACTGCCTGGTCCGACGGGGGAGACGAGGGCGTCCGGGAGCCGGTCACCGCTGGTGCCGCCGAACTGCGTTTTGATCTCCTCGCCGAGAATGGATTGGAAGGTGCGTGTGATTGTTGGAAGCGGGTGGGGACCGATTGGTCCGCTCATGATGTGGTATGTGGTGCTGAGATGGGCGACTGAGTACCGAAGGGCCTCGTTGACTGCAGCTCGGAGGGTCCCACGGCCCGACGACGCCCCCATGTCTGCGGTGAGGACTGTCGCTCCGAGTTTCCTGATCATGTCCACGCTGTCCTTCTGGTCGGTTGCGTCCCGGCTCCCCATGAGGATGGTGCACTTCATATTCAAGCGTGTGCAGGTCGCCGCGCAG